CAAAATAGCAATATTCTATATACATATATAATGTATAATAATTGGAATGTGACTATTTTACAAAATACTGGTCTACTAAAACACAGCTAAGACAAGTTACTTTGTACAGACCAAAGGTCAGTTTTATATTATTGGATATAGTAATATGAGTGCACATGTGCCTGGTCATTGTAACTTTTGTGTTGTTAGCCAGGCATGGCTGAAAGGTCAATATAATAAAAATGTGTGTGTCTATACTTTTATGCTTTTGTGTTATAATTTGTGTTCATTGTAGAATGAAATAGGCATAATTTATATTTATTTTGGTGGTTACAAGATTGGTCAAATCTACCAAACCTGTACAGAGATTCATTAGTGAAAATAACAGATAAAATATATCATTTTTTCTTAAGAAATGTTTGATAACTATCTGGACATTATAAAGATTTCGCATGTGAAATTTAAAAATTTTCTGATGCATAAAAGTATTTTTAATTTTCAAATGAAAATTACTTCATGTTAGATATCCAACATGCGAAAAGAAAAATAAAGGCATGAGAAAAACATTGCTTTACAAACCTTAAGACTTAATAAAAATTTGATATATTGCATATGAAAGCATTGTAATGTTTACTGATAATGTGCCAAATTTTGTTAACATTTGCTTACTAATTTAAAAAGTTATAGCATGAAAACTAAAACAAGCATAAAATGGTTACAATGTCGGTCCCAAGGATCGAGCCCTTGCTAAAAGAGTTAAGAGAAATAAGTTTAAGAATTTATTTGTAAATAGCAATAATGTATTTACATATATAATATATTATAACTGAAATGTCACTGTATTTTACAAAATACTAGTCCACTAAAACACAGCCAAGATGGGTCACTTTATAGTTTCAGATACGGTAACACGAGTGCACGTGCACAGCATCCTTGCATCTTCGGTAATGTAAGCCAGGAACGACTGGAAGATTAATATAATAAAATTAAGAAATATATATAAATGTTTAATGTTATGCAATTTGAGCTATTTAGACTAAACATTTATGTTTTTGTGTTATAATCTGTAGTAATTCTAGACTGAAAAGCATAATTTATTTCCTAATGTTTTATGGTGGTTATGAAGTCAGTCAAATTGACAGACCTTGTATAGTTAGGGTAGAGAAAATACTAGACAATATATTATGTTTTACTGAAAACAAATGTTTGAATTGTATTTAGGTTTTAGAGATTACACAAATAATACTTGAGTTTTTAATCATAACATGAAAATCACTTCTCATCTAGATGCAGGAATGAATTACTTTGCATGATCCAAGGCTTAAATAAAAGAAAAAAAATACTCAAAAATAATTTGAAGTTTCATAATAATGGAGATTGGGAAGCCTGATGGGATAGCAAGGCAAAAGGGAGATTGGAAAAAAAATTTAGAGCAAAATAAGTTAGAAAATATTTTCAAAGACAAGTAACAATTTCAAGATAAACCTTGTAAGAGACAGATTCACTGGCAGTGCATGAAGCAAACTACTTTTCAGATGTCTTATAAGGTATAGTCTATTGTTACTTTAATGCTTTCGTAATGGGCTTGGTATGAAATACACGAGTTTGTATACACATTTGCACACGTTAATTATTTATATTATAATTTTTAAAGCAGTAAGTGTATCTTCACAAAATTTGGTATACTTAAAGTAATTATTACAAGCCTTTTGTACACAAAAAATCAGATTTTGCAATGATGTATTTTTTACTAAAGATTTGTTTGTGAAAATAGTCTGTTTCCTTACTAGTCTGAGTGCGAAAACCTTCCAAAAGAGCCATTCCTATATCTGTCTTTAAATCACTATATACTTTTTAAGCAGTTCTTCCAGTTAGCAATTTCCAACATCATTTACTTCTATGTGTACTAAAAAAAAAGTGCTCTTTGGTACCAGTAATTAAAGTGCTAACATGCTCTGTAGTACCTTGCACACTTAGCAGCTGGCAAGCAAGTTTTGGTCATAGACTTTGTTCCATTCACTGGTACATATAAGGAGAAAGTTCCTCATTACAAGCAGTCCAAGTTTAAATTTGTTAGACTTGTACCTGAATGCTAACTGAACATGCCTCTTTAGTTCTAACCTATTTACTACTGCACACCTTTGTAAACCCAGCATTCACATTCTCACCTTCCCTTGAAGTAACCTGTACCCTAAGTTCTTTTTTTTCTGGTCTTGTTTATTTGACTTCTGTTCATAATATGCAATTTTTCTTGTCTGATAGAACAATCTCTAATTTATATTCAAGTAAGCAAGCTATGCAACAGAAGTGTTTTGTATTTTCCAAGCTTCTTTCAAATTATAACCAAGCCTACAGTTGTCAATGTGATCCAATCCTGGCACTTGTTATACCAATTGACGTCCATTACACAATTCCCTGTACTTCTCTAATGACATATTTTCTTCTTAGATATGGGTCAGATGAAAGAAGACAAGGGGATCAAGAATATGATGGCCCTCCTGGCATGGAACCTGATGGTATTATTGAGGTAGGGAGCTTTTTATATACAAATCAGGCATTAATCATTAAATATTTTTATGTGGAAAAGATGTGAACCTGGGAAATATCAAACCTGTAGTTTACTTGAAGAAGGCCTTAAAGATTTTTCAAATAAACTAAATACCTAGTTTTAAATTTATATTATTACTAGGTCATAAATTTTGATAACAGCCAAAGATTAAACTTTTTTTATTGATTAAAAGTGAGCTACAACAAGCTACCACATTCTAATAACTTGTTTTAAGAACAAAAAAGAATTCTAGCTTCTAGTTTTTGATAGCTCAGGAAGGCTCAGGAACAACATTTGTGGAAGCTACTAGAATATTTCTTTTAGCTCAAACATGTTGCCATTGTGGTATTTACCTTACTGAGAAGGCTACCTAGTTTTCATATTTTTGGTAGATAATGGTTATATTTGTAGAATACTTTATTCTTTAAACCTGCAGATAAATAGGGTCAAGGTGGCTTAGTTGTTAGTGCCTTGGACTCATAGTCGAAAGGTTGCAAGATCGAGGCTTGACCGTAACATGTTGTGTCCTTCAGTTTACATCCATTGCTGATGATGCATTTTGCTCAATCCATAGTTCTTCAGGCTGGCTGGTATACAACAAACACAGTAGTAGTTGGAACACTATTTATTTAAGCTATATATAGTGTAGTTGAAGTACTACAATTATACCCTCTTCTAATTCTTGAAAATCCGTAAGGGACTAGATTAAGAACATAGTGTTAAAAAATAAAATTGGCCTAATAAAATGCATTATGACAAGTATAATTAATTATACTCATGCTTTGCAAGCTTCTAAAAGGTGGTCACACCATAACAATTGTAGAATGATAATTAATACTGCTGTATGCTGTACAACAATAAAATATTAGAATACGGGTTTGGAGGAAAGGTGGAAAGATAGGATAACACACTAAAATTAAAGTAGCAACACTGTATAAAGGAAGATATATCTATAGTTAATTTTTAGCTGTAATCTAATTAAATTGTAGTTGTAATCCAGCTTTATTAGGTAATATGGCAACAATTCATAAAAACAAATATTTGTTCGAGTACACCTTGGCATCTTAGTAATTAAAGATTATATTTCAAATAGTGTTATGTGGGTTGGATGACTAAAGACTTTCTGATTGAAGGTAAAATATGTTTAATATGTCAACCACACTAATTATATGCTATATCTAGTGTCGATATGGCCTTTCACCCAATACAAGAGTTTTTCAGGTTAGCTGGGATATAACAGACATTTTAATGGTTGAAACACTATTTATTAAAGAAAATTACTGGAACAACTGTTATGGTATAGTTATAAACTTGAGTAAGTTGAATCATTTATTTTTTATCAAATTGGTCTGTCTCAATACATCACAATAAAGTTAGGATCATTTAGCACTGTATTATTTATTTTATCACCATATGTTATTACTAATTATATACTTGAAATTATCTGCTCGTTATTCAGAAGAACTGGCAAACCGGTAAGCTTGTCTTGATCCTAGAGCAGGTGAAGTGACCACTCTGTCAAATTAAAGTAAATATTAGTACCAGAACAAAGATAATTAGCTTTGTACTTATCCAAAAACTTGTTTAAAAACAACAGCTAAAAAAAAAATGATTAACCTAAGAAGTGTTCAAAAATTGTTTAATATTTATATGTACACTACATCAATTAGGGTATTATGATAATAACAAAGAATCAAAGTAAAAGAAAAAATTGAAATTGATTTTCTTAAAAATGAATAATATTTATCCAAATGGGTGGAATAGAAAAAAGTGAAAATAATACATGAAGTGAAAGATGAACCTGTCATTATTAATGTTGGGTATCAAGTAGCCAAGTTTTTCTCATAAATATTTGCTCAATAATTTGTTGTATTGGTTTAACTTCCATATTATAATGGATTGTTATTATCCAAAAATAATGGTTGGAATGGGTATGTTTATTGAAATGTTGAGCTACTGGTTTGTCAGAATCATTATTCAAAGTAATTATAATGTACTTACATTATCTTTTAGTCTGCATGTGACTGGATTTGCCTACATATAATTTGCCATTAAACTTGTTAATGTTACGACAGACTAGAGATTTAGGTAACTGTTTTATAGAACGTTTGATGGTGATTGCAGTTTTGCTCTCTGTATATGAACAAGCGTCAGTGTGTACTCACAGTGTAATGCACCTTTGTGATTTTGCCATATACACTGTATAAAGATTTTGCATGTGAAATATCAAAATTTTCTGATGCATAAAAGTATTTTTAATCTTAAAATTACTTTGCTTGTTAGATAGCCAACATGTAAAAATAAAGGCATGAGAAAAACATTATATTTTGTGTATAAAAGCATCGTAATGTTTATTGATAATCTGTCAAATTTCATTAACATACACTTACTAATTCAAAAGTTATAGCATGAAAACTATAACAAGTACAAAATGGTTGAGGTTGGTCCGAGGGAATGAGCCAGTGCTGAAAGAATTAATAGAGATGTTGTGGGTAATAGTTTAGGACGCTTATGCCAATTTTTTTGTATGCTATAAATTAAGTTCATGTTTTTAAGTAGTATAGATATTACCATGTGTCATTTAGTTTTAATTTGCATTTCTCCCAGAAAAGAGAGAATTTCCATTCCAGCGATAAAACTGAATTTTAAGCACTGATAAACTAATGGTTATAAATGTCACAAAACATAAGGATAAAGTAGTTGTGGGTTTTGATTTCACAAATGTATTGCTAGTGATATACGAGTGATTGTAGTAAACATGTATAGATAGATACAAAGTTTCTTAAGTTGGATATTCCAGAATGTTGTCTTGAGAAATTAAATCATTTATTCTTGATACATTTTTAATGACACTTTAGCCCTTTGACTGCAGTTGCTTTAAATGCATGTAGAATTTTTGTGAGCCATACACTGTATACAGCACACTCGCATTCAACTGCTAGAGGTAGACTTTTCCAGTATTCGGCAGATCAGCACTTGGTGAGTTAAGTACTCGTGAAATAGTTACTACAGGTAATAGTTTGGGACATTTTTTTTGCCAATGATTTTATGTAAAGTTTTATTTTACAGACTTCACGCAACTTGGCAATAAGATAAAAAAAAAAGGCTAAACTAATTTTAATTAATTCACACTTATTCTCATTCCATCATTAAGCATTTTAGCTTGTCTCTTTAAAATTCTTACTGTTGTTATTCAAATGAATAACAGATCCATGTAAGTTAACAGCAGTGAATATCTTGGCTAAATCACAACTTGATCAAGAATTTAGTTTTTCTAATCTCACAGTTTGCTTTTCATAATTGGTTTGTGAAGAAATATTGATAGGATTTCCTTCAGTGCTTGTTATGAGAAAAGTAAAATTGTGGGTGTTTTGAGTAGGCAAATTAAAAACGTTTTGCACCTCAGAAGTTTTTTTTTTTCATTTGATTTATTTGATACAAAGAGTTACATTACTGACATTGTGCTTCATATGTATTATATATTTGAAAAGGCTTTAAATAGAGATCATATTTGAACCTAAAATAAAGATTAACAGTTATTTCTATTTATGAAAGTTTTGTTGGTTCAGAACATTTTATCAAAAAGATCATAAAGTGTAATTAAATTTAATTATTTTTTTCATTTATTAATTCATGGTGTATTGGTATACTTAATAATGTTTATTGATTAACAGACTTAAACCAGAATTGAATGAGCAAAACAGAACAGTTCATTTATTATACGGAGTTCCAGTTTGCCTGAGCAAGGATCTTAAATCACCCTTTATTTATAGATTCATTGCAATCACTCATCATATGTTTCTTAATAACCTGGAAATGATGTGGAACTTGTGTTTGTATCTGAGCTGTTAACAACCTAGTAGTTGATCCTATACAATCTAATAAGACATTTATATTCATATACCACATTTGAAGTTTTTATACTTATGTACTCAATCCTTATACCTGAAATACTACACACAGACTTCAAATATATTTCAATTCAACTTGAGGGTATGCACAGTGACCTAACTTCTGTAAGTGGTTTCTAATCAAAATATTTTTTTTTACCTGTGTATGACAGAATTAGTTTTTTTTTTGTAGCTCATTCAAATTAAGTTATGGTGAACAACTTATTATTTAAATATTTAATAACATGATTTATAATGCTTATGCGGAAAGGTGTTTTTAGTTAGTTTCTTAATATTTTATCACTATTTAAAAAATTCATACTAGCTGATTAATCCATATACCCATTGAAACTATTTTAAGGATGATGGTATAAAACTCAAATCTGATGTACTGCTTTAAAATGAGAATGATCTTCAAGCCAACGTTTATCATTATTGAATGAGCCAAACAGTGCAGTTCATTTATTATTAAACCTGTGCTAGTGATGCTGTAACTGTGTATTGGTTTATTGTTAATAAGTTTCATCAAAGTTGAGGTTTTAGCTGCACTAGTTTTGCTAAACAGTCATTTAATCAAAAGGGCTAACATCCTTCTGTTTAATGTTACTTTATTCAAGCTACATGAACTCATTGCTATCCAGTTAGGCTATTTATAAAGTTTCATGCTCTGTCAGACTTAACTGAAAACCTTCCATCAAAAGCACCTCTCTGTAGTCATGCTTCCAGCTTTTAGTTGGTAAATGTGACAATAACAGTGCAGGTTGTCAAATGGAAGAAAAACAAAACTTCAGTGTGGGTGAGACAAGACAAGGACCTCTTTCTTAATGTCTGGTTGTCTGGTCTCAATCACTGATGTGACAATTAAGAGCTTTTTATTTTATTTTTTTATGGTGTTTAAAATCATCCTGAGTAGTGGGTTTCAGATAATTAACTTACCAAACTGTTTAGCAGCATTTTCTCTCTTAACTGTATGAATATTTTTTTAAAAACAAGATTCTTCATAAATTTAAGGTTGATGTTTGAAATTTGGAGAAAATTACCAAATACTTTATGAGACTGTAGTTTGAAAGGAAACTACACAATTGTAGATGTAGCAAGCATATTTTAAAAAAAGTTTGGAAATGAATTTAGCTTAGTGTTTTGTACCTGAGATTTTTTTGTTGGATTTACTTATATGCAAGGAGTTTCAGTTTTGAACATCTTTCTTTATATATGATATATATTTGGTATTTGAAATTACATTAAACAGAGATCATACCTGAACCTAAAATGTGAACAATTAACCCTTTCACAGTGGTATCCCTTTAAACACTGGTCACTGCAAGTCACTGCTACATTCAAAACTTAAACACCTATATTGTCAATATATATCAGTGAAATAGTGTATTTGAAGTTTTATGTTATCAAAGTTTTAAGTCCTTTATTTCAAAAGAAACCTTTAAAAAACTGCGTAACTTTAGATGTATTGTCGCGTGACCAATGAGCTATGAAAATTCTCTATTTTGGTGGCACCCTCTATCTTTAATAATACAATGGCAGTTGTGTAGAGGTACTTCTAGACTCTTAAGATGTTTATATAACCTAATGACTTGTACATTTCAAAGTTCGCTGAATGAATACAGTTGAAACAAGTAATACATTTTTTTTTAACCCCTGACAGATGCCATGCCCACCTTGAACAGATTTGTTTGAGCTTTGTAGTCTACATTCAAGTAATATCACAAGACTTGAGAACTGATGCAAAGTATGATGAATATTTAAAAAATGTTTAAATCTTTCAATTATGCAATTTTAAACATAACTGACAGAAAATTAACTAAAGTACAATAGTAAGACTTAAATACAATTTAAACCATATCTCTTAGGTAAGAAACAACCGTAAGTGCTATAGTCATTCAAGCAGCCAACAGTACTAATCAGTTACATGTACTCTGTGACAACAAATGAGAGCCAATTTAAAAAAACATTGTTAGATTATAGTGTAAATTGAACTCTTTCTAATTACTAAGCCCCTGTTGCACAAGAATTTTGCCAAAGTTTTGCATGTCTGCCAGAGACACTGTAATATGCCTCGAGAGCACTGTTGACTTGTATCGAGATGAATAATAAATGGTAAAGGAGAAGAAAGAAAAATAAACATTAAAAATTAATTATACGTGAAAAGGAAAAGACCTAAAATTAAAAGGTATGCAATTTTACTATTTCCTAGTTTTAATCATTTCATTGCACATTGATGATAATAGCTAGTTAGTGATGTGGTAGAGAAAATGAAAAAAAAAATAAACATTTACTTTTAAAAAAAACTTTTGATATTCATGTAGGAGGCTCTGGAGGTTATGCAAATGAGATATGAAACTATAAGATAAAGAAAATTGTTTTTATACTTTAAATGAAAATCACCTTTCATTCAAACTATTCACAGTTTGAGTGCAAGTAACTAGTATAGATAAATAACATTTTTATTAGGAAGATGTAATTAAAATAATTTCATTTGTGTATACAAGATACTTATAAACTTTAACAAAATCTTACCAGTTTTTGTGAGGAGAACACAGTTACTGTATTCGTGTTGCATAAACATCCTTTGCTAGTTGAGTGGATGATAATCAGGTCTGTCCATACTGAAAGGGTTAATAAGGTAATTGCAACTATAAAGAGTTTCTTTCCTCCCATCAAAAATGGTTACTGATAATTGTATTTGTCTACAGAGAAATATTTGGGCAATAAACTGGTTCCATATTCTGTATGACTAGTTGAACCTTGCTGTAATAACTCCTAATATTCATCAGTTGGCTTGATGTATTGTGAAGTACCAATAAAACTGAAATAAATTTTGATCATTGTAAGTGGAAAAGAAAATATCCTGAGCACCCACAATTAAGACGAGCGATTTGTAGCTTCTCAGAAAAGTATTTTCTGCTGATAATTTTGAAATCGTTTTCATCTAGAGTTTTTATGATACTTTTCTGAAGGTAAATATGAACACCAAAGTGGAAAAATCATGATTTTACTTCAAACTATAAGGCTATCCTGCTGGAATCTTAGCATTTGTGCACTGTGGATAATAATGATTCATATGTATAGGCCTAAAGTAATTTAAGTGAAAGGTTATAAGGGCTCAAAAGTAATGTTAGCAAATTGCAGGTTTGCTAATAAAATTTAGAAAGCACTAAAAATAATTGGTAATACACATTTTGGAAAAATTTTCATATAATTACTGTATAGAATCAATACACTGATGATACATCATTTTGGTTGTTTATTTTGCAAGATTCTGAGTGTGGAAGGTTACTATGACTAAGAAGAATGTTTCACTTGCTGGTACTGTGTTAGTTTTGTGATCTCCATTTCAGATGAATGGCATACTTAGGCTAAGTATCAGGAAATATAGAGATAGTGCAAAGGGAGCAGTTACACCTCTCCTCTACCATAAGGAGAATCAAATGTGAAAAAAAACCTTCTTCTAATCTTAACAATTGTACCAAAGATGATATAAGACTAGATTCATTTGAAGTTATTTGGTTTAATTAAACATAGTTTTCTACATTGCACAATAATCTTATTGTTTTACATTCCTATATAAGAGACTAAAGTCACTGCCATGCTCTTCAAATCAATTTTAAGCTGTATTGTTATTTTACTGTCTTGGAAGAGCCCTTGCCTACTTTTATTTTTTTATATGTACAAGATATTATTTGTCATCATGCCATCTGTTTTAAGCATTGTCTCAATAACCTAATTTATCTTTAAACGTGTCAATTGTGGCACTAGCAGCTTTACGTCAAAAAAAGGTTTTGATTTAAGGTTTTGTTTCCAAGTTTTTGCTTTGTTTCATTTATCCATATGCCAACATCTTTATATTTTTATTATTACCCTTTTCATTTTGTTTTCCCTCATTCCTTAATCCTTAATTTTTATGTTCATGTTTTGACTTGCTGGCAAATGATACTGGTGCACTAGTGTGGATCATAAAATACAGGGAAATATTTCTTCATATATTGCTACTGATTTTCTAGTGTTTTTACTGCCGACTGTATTCATGGGTAGAAGTGCTTCATGCTAAGTTTCAGAATGTAAAAATTTCCTTTGTTAGTTTTGCTTACAGAAGCGGAACTCGGGCTAGTCCCAGACTCTTGACCTAAAATGTTTGCATACCACCCAGATAGGTTCTCAAGACTGCAGCTTCAACTCATTTAATTGGTTGTCGAGGTACATAGCATGTTGGCCAGCCAGCCAGACTAAGAATATTTAGCCTCTTGTGGCAGCTTGGTTATAAATACCTAAAGTGATTGCTCAAAACAAATAAACTGCAGATTTTTTTTTTTTTACATTCCTCTTAATTTTTTTCCATGTAACATAAAAATTGAGTATATTGGCTTTTAATTTTTAATAATAATTTAGTATAGGAAGGCCATGAGCAGTGGCATAGTGTAGAATTTGTCAATCCAGGAACTTAGCCTAGATTAGAGTTGGGCAATTAATCAATATAATTGATTACTTATGACCATTGATTAGTGTCATGTAAAATACTCAACTAATTGTTCCCTGTTATTATTCCAGCTATCTATTTAATCCAAATATTGCCATTAGTATTTCTCCTGATTATTTTTAATTCAAGGTTCTCAGCTTAATTTTAGTGTTGTGACTCAAATATAATCAATTAATCAAAATTAGTGCTTTTGATTCTAACTATTTTTTGATTAACCCAACTGTCCAAGTTTCGTAGAAGAATAATTGATTAGATGAATGTAATCAGTTTGAGCCCAACGATTAATTAATGAGCAAATTCCACTTGTTGCCCAGCTCTAGCCTAGATACAACAGTTTCCACCTAAACTGAGCATCTTACACTTTTGTGAGATAGTTGAAAGAAAACATGATACAGAATATTTATACATATAAGTATTAAATAATTATGACACAGTTAATTTTAAAAATGAATAACATTGTTGCTAGTAGCAGTTAACAATGTGCTAGTAAGAAAAAGAAACTAACACCTATTTATTTGTGCTTTTAAAATTTGAGTTTGTGGCCTAGTTATGTGAACAAATATTTAATATAGTGATAAAGATTTGACATTCCTCAAAATTGTGGTTTTTCACATATATTTGTGGTATCTTATAACTTGTTGAGAACATTTAATTTAATTGAAAGAACATAGACATGAAATGTGAAGAAATATGTTAAAGGTTTTGTGAAATGTGTGAGAAGTCATTTATTTCATTTTTAGGTAACTGAAAGCACATTAGTAATATTTGCTTATGTATTATTTTCACACAACAGGAACAACATTATTGAAAAATTACCTGTGTATTGTCATTTCTAGAGTAACTGGGAACAAGTTATTGATAACTTTGATGATATGAATCTTCGAGAAGAGCTTTTACGAGGTATATATGCTTATGGTTTTGAGAAACCTTCAGCCATTCAACAGAGAGCCATTGTTCCATGTATCAAAGGTAAGATTATATATCTATCAGATTTGGATGAGGTTTATTGAAGAATTGATTTTTGTGTATGTTGTGGGATTTCTTTGAAATTAAGTCGCCCTTGATTTTAGAACTAGAAAGCAAAACATGGAAATGGCCATTGTAGACATGGTTGTTCATATTTTAAAGTGAATGAATGCTTGTGAATGAATGATATGAATGCTTGCTAATTAATATTTTCAAGCTTTGTTTGTTTGGTTTATAACTTGCTTAAAGGATAACAGTAACATTTTATGTTTTCAGCTTATAACTGTAGGTAGTAGTATCTCTGAAACAAAGTTTTAAAATGTAATACTTTTTCATTTACATGTCTTGCTCAGATAGTAGTCCTACTTTATTGATTTCACTGCATAGTGAAATATCTGATTACTAGAGCATCTGCTTTGATATCTGTAGATTAGCTGTTGTCCTTGACGTGGTGTACTTTCAATAGTAATCTACTGTTGAAACTTTAGAAGTTTTTAAAATTTAGATATAATGCTCTTTGTAATCTTATTTCTGTAGTCAAGGAGATTTTGTACCATGTGAAACTTTTAGAAGATGATAAAAAATGTGTTTTGCACCATTTCAGTCTTTGAAAATGGTTATCTTCAATGCTTGGTGTTAAAACATTACCCAAAACAATGAACTTTTAGACCTCTACATTCCTTAGTAAGTAAATAAGTAATTTAAGTTCATTACGTAGTATTTGTTTTCTTTATTTACTTATTGAATCTGTTCAATCTGTGGTAGTACACAAGTTTTTAATAGTTGTTACTTATGTAATTATTTCACTGAAATTCTATGCCTGGGGGTTCGTTCACAGTGTTAGCTATCCAGCTTCTGCAGTGTGTAGCTGTTGAAAGCTATTAATGTCTTTACAGTTAAGAGCTTGCATACTGCATCCATGTGAATAAATATAATGTCTTTGAATCACTTTTATAAATACTGCAATATTGCCTTTATGTTAAAAAGTTTAACAGATAATATGTTACATGAAAATAAATATCTATAAAAACATGTGGGACAAATGTAGCAACATTATTATTTTAAATAAATTATATAATTCAGTAAATTATAATGGCTTTCGTATTGAATTTTAACCCATGTATATGTAAGCAATGTTTTTTTTATGTATATGTTTTCAACCAGTTTTGCTGCTTTTCTGTCACACTCAAGTTGAACTGTTCCTACAAAATTTATTTCAGTTATTAATTATATAACATTCAGCCTGTAACTTGTTCAGTAACGTTATCAAACATAAGGATGACTTGCAAGAAATGTACTTCAGAGCAGTAGCCATTGTTCTGTAGTTTAAAGCTAGACTTAAACCTTGCCCCCAAAATATCTTTTGTCACTCAGTAAACTTGTATTGAATAAATCAGTAGTATGGCTCACATCAGCATATCTAAGATCATGATATGCATACAAACCTCCAACCTGTCTGTACATTGAAGTTGATGATTTTATAATTATCAGTCAGAAGTTTGAAATGTTTTATTCCAAGTATAGTGTGTGTGTGAGTATTGATTATATAATGTAAATAAAAGGCAGCTGTCTTTTAGTAAAGCTCTGTTTGTAAGTGGTATGTTGAATGCAGCTTTGGTTCAAATTAGATATATGTGATGTGTTACCAACTAGAAACTCAAATTACTGATATTGACAAGCTAGAATATAAAATAAGAACCTTCTATCTTTTCTGTTTGCTGAGATATCACTATTTAAAAATTGAGAAAAACTCTTAACTGTATAGGTCACATCATCTTTATGGATTTGTGAAATGTTACACATACCACAGAATCACTTGAATAAGATAACTTCATAAAACAGATAAATTAGGTATGTCTCATAACTTTCTATTGGGACAATATGCAACAAGGTGTGGGTAACCACATTGTTAGTGAGGCATTGGACTCCTACTGCCTAGAGTGTTTATTACTACCCTGGATAACTTGTCTAATACACATATATATATATTGTCAATTTGTTTGTAACACTCATATTATGAGTCATTTTTAACACTTAAGTTACATCATTCTTATTGGTTTTTTCAGAGTGTTCTTGAAAATCATTATTTTCTTAATGTGTAATTGTTTTTGTTCTATGATGAAGGGAAGGTTTGGGGAACAAATCTATCTGAAGGAAGTGTGGAAGCTCCTATATTTTTCTCCAATAGTTTGCTAGTTGTAAGCATTTAAACTATAACTATTAAAGTAGTGTCTTTTGTCTTTCATCGTCCAGCCCAACTGAGTTTTGATACTGAATGAAAAGTTTCTTGAGCCTTGGCATGTGGAAGACAAAAGATAGATCTGAAACGATACTTCTACACCTGATTTTGAGCCACAATGAACAAATAGAGAAAATTGGAAAAGAAATTGCAAATAACTTGATTTTTATAACAATTTTTAGACTTGTTGCCTTCCAATAATTTGCCTACTTTCAGTGTTTAAAGCAGGCCTCGACAAATACTTTCAGATCTAGGAGCTGGCCCTAAAACTTAGGAGCCAGGTCCACTATAGAAAAGTTATGGAATACATTTTGAGTCAGTTGTATGGTTATGGTACAAGACATAGTTTTACACTAAAAATACAAAAGGGTTCATTATTGAACTTTATTATATAACATATTCAACTTCAATGTATGCAGTTTATAAAAACACCAATAACAATTTCATATGCAACTCTTTATTCAAGTCCACCTATTTCTTAAAAGGACATTTGTGACCATATACATGTCTAGAGGTTTTATAACTGAAATACCAATGATCTACAGCTTTTGAAGTGTCAAAAACTGTGATACACCTTTCAATACTGGCATCATTGTTCAAATATATTTTCTTTAGGTATTGCACACCATCTTCCACCAAGTTGTTTTTCTCAACTAGGATACAAGAACTTGTATTTGTGCTCAATCCACATAGCTGCACTTCTTTATAAATGCTATTCAGAGAAGTGTTACAAATAGATTTGTTTTGTGGTAACATGGTTCATTTCTTCAGTGATGAGTGTGTTAACATAGTACTTTGCACATATAGTGTAACAGTATACAAAGAGATTTTGCTTTTGAAACAAGGGAGAAATTCTTTACTGCACTCTTAAGGTATTCTAAACGAAATTGTATGATGTGAACAAACTTGAAATTCTTTAGTTTTTCAAAAGTCCCTTTGCAACTGCAGAAGCACCTTCTCTGTAGCAACATCTTCAAGATGCATTACAACACCTTTCCAATCCTTCACTAGAACAGCTAAGGCACCAACTTTGCTGGCCACCCATCTTACTGTATGGAGGTACTGAAACTTTATGATCTGACTGTAAACCTTCTTCCACTAGATTTAACTGCCACCTTCTCTTTGGCGAAGACTGGTAAAACATATCAGAAAATGGCTTGTTACTTTTAGCAATGTAGTAGGCTATACTAAAAAAAGCCTTCACATGATTACACATTTTTTTAATTTCCTTTACATACTGCTAAAGGGGTAGATTCTGGAGATGTTAATGCATTATATGATGAAATACATTTCTGATGCTTTAATGATTTTTCTTGTTTTTTTTAAAGTTTCCAGCTTGAAGGGCCAAGTAAAAACTTTTACTGCTTTTGAGTTGAAGTTTGATGCACTATGGAAAGATTTGCATATCTCACGATTAGCAGCATCTGTGTTGTGATTAAATTTAAGCCACTTCAGTTCATTCAACCATTTTCGTTGAAATTTCCGTTTCTTCACATTATGGATTTTGCTAGTAAATGGATTTAAGTCTACTTCAGTTATTTCTTCCTCGTCAACTTTTTTTTTTCCACATATAGTAGTAGAAGGCCCTGTATCCTTCATTTTCAACGGAATGACAAAGAAATGTTGTTAGTTGAGACTGTTTTGTGTCTTCTAACTTTGTTTGTTGCTGAATGTTTCATGATCAAGGTCTACATTAATAATAATAGATATTAACTGACAACAAAATATACTAATCTGGACTATATAGTTTGGCCACTGGCTATGGGAGGCCGATTTCAAAAGGGAATTATTAAATTAATGACTAAAGTATAACTTACGTGGATTCTTACAATGAATGAAAGTAAAATAAAAATAATCACTACAGTATTGATAGTTCAAGCAGGTTGTTTCAGAATAGGTCTAATCTACTCATCACTACAACACCATACAATGATAAGCAAAGGCCTTTTGATTTGCCTAACCTAATTTCACTACTTTTTTGTACAGGGAAATGGGGGCTATATTTAGTTACTTTCAGAGCAAAGAGTGCATGCTAATGATCACATGATATCAAGAATCACTAGATACTGTTGCCTGAACTCACTGCCTTTGGTCCCATCAGAGTCTAAACACGTGTACTGACTGGTTGAATTGAGAGAAAGAAGAAAAACAAAATGGAAAGAAATTATTAAAGTGTTGAGGAACCACAGTGCTTCCAGTAGTCCAGAACTGTTCTAGATTAGAGTTCTATTTAGCACATCCCTACTCACAAATAAAATGGAAGGAAATACTAGGTGCCGTGATGAAATGTTTTGGCAAACTGGTGCCCAGGGTTTTTTGAGGCCTGGTTTATAGCATAATTTTAAATATTGTTCTGCATATATAAATAGTATTTCATAGTCGTTTGTCTTTTTCTGTCCAGATCAACTGAATTCATACTTTGTTTCACAATGAAACAAAGTATGTGAACACCCTTATATGATTGAAAGGGTTATTTAAGGACGATTAATTAAAACAATTCAAGTAAGTTATGCAAAAATGTATTTCCCTCAAAAATTCTATTAACATCAGTCCTAACTTTAATGCCATTTGTAAAAATTCATATGAGGTTATAAAATATTGTTCAGAATTTATAAAACATACTCAAGTACAATTAGAACCTAGTAAATGTTGACTTTTAGATAAAATCGAAAAGATTAAAACCTTTAGATACGGTGGGGGACAAACTTCTGATTTGGCAATGCTGTAAAACAATTGTATGGTTTCATGAATTGCTAGATTATTACCTGTTGATTGTTTTATAGCAGTGTATTGTTTGTTTGTTTTTCATATATAATTATTCCAAAAAGCTGTTATTCTTAACATTTGTGTACATTTTAACACCCTATTCATTACTGTGACAAATGTGGAAGTGAATGTAATTTGCAAGTTAACAAAAATAATTACTAAGTTATTATCATACTGCTATAAATAGAAGTTAACTTACTAAAAACTACTTCTTGGCCACACATTTTAATGATCAACAAATGTTGAAATACTTAAAAATTACATTAAAAACTATAAACATAATTGCCATAGACCATCAGTATGTTATAATACTCTGTGAAAAATATCTTAATTTTTATTTGAAATTGTTTTAAGTGTTTCATATTCTCAATTATGGTTTGCAAACCTTCCATCAAAAGCACCTCTCTGTAGTCATGCTTCCAGCTTTTAGTTGGTAAATGTGACAATAACAGTGCAGGTTGTCAACTGGAAGAAAAACAACACTTCAGTGTGGGTGAGACAAGACAAGGACCTCTTTCTTAATGTCTAGTTGTCTGGCCTCAATCACTGTTGTGACATGATTTCTAAACCTGGTTCTGTTTTAACTATATTATCCAGACTGTTTCCTAAGTGTATAGATAGAGGGCTAATTACACTTAATGTATGAATGTATTGTCACAGATGCATGCTGTGGTACCATGAATGACATATTTTCTACCTATATATTTGGTTAATGGAAAAATCCTTTCCATTTGGCTGTGTAAAAATCCAAGGTTGTATATTCATAGTGATATTTAAATGATATAGAGCCAAAGGATACAACATTAATCAATTTTTGGAATAATCAGTAGTAATTGGAAATACTAATTTTGATTAATTGATTTAATTATAATATTGATTAGTCAAGTAGATTATATGACTAATTGATGTAATCACTGCTTACAGGTAATTGATTAAACCACCCAGCTTTATATGATGTGAGTGGATGAATGTAGGGGAGGGGGCTTCCTGAATTATAAACACTGGTGTTTATAACAAATCATAAACCCTTAAATTTGATGCTTTAATAACTGGTATTTGCATTTCTGCTGAGACTGCAATATAAGGTGTTGAAAGAAATGTATGTTAATTTTCTGGTTTATTTCTAAAATTATAGAATTGATTAAACTTTTAACTGACTTGACAAATTTCAGTCTATTTTAATAGAAGTAACAGAATGCATACAATTTCATGTTTTTGTGAAATTTAAAATATGCCAACTTCACAGTGACACAGTGAAACAAAGTATAAGTGTGAAACTTGTCCAAAATGGTTGCTGAAAAATGACAATAATGAAAATTTTAAACAACAAGAAATATTTGTCTTGGAAATTTGCTTTTAGAGAGAAAGAAGCTTAAATGTGAATGCATAAAATAACTTTCTTTTGCACATGACTGTCAAGAATAAATGACAGTGAACAGCACATGAATAATGAAGGGAGGAAAAAGTTCTGTAGACTCTGTAACTTTCATGTAAACGTTCTCATGTACTTTGGTCCATAAAATTATTACAAAAAGTTACAGTAGTCATTGTTTGGAGTGTTAAAACTTTGACACTTTGAAATTTACAAGTATACTCAAATATAAGTGCTTAAAATATCTCCGTTATTCACTGTTAAATACTTAAATTTATTTTACTGTTGGATTGTTAGTTGACCGACTGACCAGCTGATTTTAAGTTTAACAATTATATTTTTTATTAAACAATTTTAACATTATTCAGTGGTAACAGTTATAAACCATTTAATTTGAGTCATTGTGGAACATCTAATTAGTAAAGGGTTATCATTACTCCTTATGTACAGAATATATAGAGGTTTTCCTTCAAAACTTTGTAAATCTCTAACAAAATGTATCATTATGTATACCATGAAGGGATCTACTTTTGCTTTTTCTCCTAACTATTTAGAACAATCTTTATTTTGTATATAGGTAAAGGAAAGGTAGATACATGACATTATGGAAATGTGGAGTAAAATGAGTATATAAAACATAATACAAATTACCATTGAACCCAGATGGTTTCAGAAAGTAGACGTTTCTTTTTCATTCCTTCTTCACATCTAATGAAAGGTTTACTTCCAAATACATGCAGTTTATTGTTAAAATAGAAAAAGGTGTCATGAAAAAGACTTATTAAAAGCTTTATGGTTTTTGTTGTATATATGATTGATTTTGTAAAAGTTGTATTCAGTAAGTGTAACTTTGGAAGTGCCTGGCATGGCCAGGTGGATAAGGCGCTCGACTCGCAATCTGAGGGTCGCGGGTTTAAATCCCCGTCCCACCAAACATGCTCGCCCTTTCAGCCGTGGGGATGTTATAATGTGATGGTAAATCCCACTATTCGTTGGTAAAATAGTAGTCCAAGAGTTGGCGGTGGGTGGTGATGATTAGCTAAATTCCCTCTAGTCTTTCACTGCTAAATTAGGGATGGCTAGTACAGATAGCCCTCTTGTAGCTTTGTGCGAAATTCAAAAACAAACTTTGGAAGTATAGTGTTGTAAGCAAAATAGCTTCTGCATGTATGCTACTTTATTGACTGTTTTTAAGATAAATAGGTCTGCATAATATGAGAAATGGAACTATTTAAGTAAGCATTTAGAAAACCTAAAGTGCTCTTCATTACAAATTCTTGTGAACAAAGTATTAGAATTAATGAAAATATTTGTGTAAATATGCTACCCATGTTTATTTCATTTTGAAATTGATTGGTAGTTCTTTGAAATTTGTAGTTATATTTGTAATTACATCAGTTTGTTTTCAGATTTTGAACTTGCTCTTCAATCAAAGTATTTCTTATATCATAGTCACTGTAATGTATTTTTGTAGGGTTTGATGTCATAGCTCAAGCACAGTCTGGAACTGGAAAAACAGCAACTTTTGCTGTTGCTATACTTCAGCAAATTGACATAACCTTGCAAGAATGTCAAGCTTTAATTCTTGCTCCTACTCGGGAACTGGCTCAACAGGTTTGTTTACATATCACCTTACCAAATTGATATTTTCTAGTAATTCTAATACCTTACCTTGAAAATAAGTAATATTGGGAGTATAATAAAGCAGAGTAGAATTTCATCAACAGCTGTTCGTTAGACATAGGTAATATTATAAGCTATTAACCAATATGAAATATTTGTCATCCAACTTAAAATTTATTTATAAGAATGAAGTTTTTCATCATCAGGCATAGCATAGATTACTCCATTCTCAGAATGGTTCACATATTCATGTGTTTTGTTAAGTGATTAAGGGTAAATGAAAGTGGGAGTGTTCAACACACCTCATAATATGTTTAACATACTTACTTTGCATTACATATAACATTGTTGTATTTTTGTTGTAGAACCAATATTCTTGTTATTCATTTAAGTTTCTTTTTGTTATTTTTGTGTTTTCATAAACATTAGGGCCTAGCATGGTCTGATCGTTTTGGCACTTGACTCGCAATAGGTGGGTTGCGAGTTCAAATCCTGTCACTGAATGTGCTCATCCTTTCAACCATGGGGGTGTTATAAATAATGGTCAATCCCACTATTTGTTGGTAAAGAGTATCCCAAGAGTGAGCAGTGGGTGGTGTTGACTAGATGCCTTTCCTCTAGTCTATCCTTTTAAAATTATGGATTGCTAGCAGAGATAGTCTTGGAGTAGCCTTGCATGAAATTCAAAACAAACATAAACAGTAGTTTTTAGCTATAATGTCCTGCTACTTGACTCCACACCAAAACAGTTACATGTGTCTTAATAATTTATCTTGGGTTCCATGCTTCTCTAAAGTTATACTGTTGATGTTTAATGGCTCTTCATAGGTCATAAGGTGTTTTTAGAAAGGATTGTGTGGTGTTTTGCATGGTGTAATCATACACTTTTTGGAACATTAAATTAGCAACAGTACTTCAAGCCAACAGTTAGTGTTTGTATTTCATAAGGTGTACCTTATTATTTCTTTGTTAATTTTAATAACAGTGTTGTTAGATTGTTTTGCATTGTTAGCTTAATATTTTTGTATTCAGGACTAACCTGAATCTTCTGAGCTGGCCAAATTTTGACATATTATTGGGATTATGTCTGAAAATATTGTCAACAGCAAGAGTACCTAACTAATGAAATGATGCATTCTAATCTATGTATTTTAAAATGTAGGAAAATATTTAAATAGTTGTACTCATTACCAGGTTGATTTTTTTGTTTCACTCTGAGGAAGTAGCTTGCTCTTATTGGATGTTAATGTGAATTCAAAATGCAGTGTTATAACAGTGTTATGTTACCTGAACAGGGAAATTTTGAAATTTTGATAGCAATCTACCTAAAACGTTAGCCTAATTACTAATAAAACAAGGTAAATTTTGTGATCATGATTGAAAGATATGTATGTTCAAAGTCAAAAACAAAGTAATTCTTTATAAAAGGCAGGAAGCTAATCACGTCTTCATATCAATGCTTTTCTGCTTATAAATGTAATTTATTATTTGATTATTTATGATAAAGGACATTTTAACTGTAAAAATATTTTCTAAAGTTTCTGAAGTTGTCAAAATAATAAATACATCTATTGTAACATTATATTATTTTCTTTCTTGTAATCTCTTGTCTGCACAACTCCTTTTCTTTCTCATATGGAATGGAAATTTCCAAACACTTTGTTAGACCATCATGAAGCTTTTTTATGTGCTATGTATGAAATAATTTAAGGTATAAATGGTTTTGTGTTGTTTGTGTGCTGTGGAATGGTAATGAACTAACTTAATGGCTTTCATGTGCATTTGTTTATTTTGTTCATAAAACTGCTTTATTAAGTCAATTTCTTCATATAGAAACTCTTGCTATGGTAATTTGGCATCTAACAAAGAAGGTTATAGTTTGTACTTGAAAGTCTACAAAAGGGGGGAAAAACACTGGTTGGAGGCCTCGGTGTGTGTGATGTTGCCTCTAGTATTTGCAACAGATGTATAGGACAAAGATAAGCTTTATATATTAGAGAATAATATATATACTGTATATTTATATTAGATTTAATGTTTTAGAATGTATTTTATTACACCGTTTCTTTTAATCATTTTGTGTTCTAAACAATATTTTATATAGCGTAAGAACAAGAGATACCAGTGAATCTTGAGTAACAATCTGTAACCTATATGTAGAAGGTGAAAGTAACACAACTTGTAGATTAGCAGTCAAAGGCATTTTGCATTATGGCATGTTATATAATTATGTTACAAGGTGGTTTTTATTTCATTATAATGTGCAAATGTGCCAAAAGAAAATCATTTATTTCAAAATGTCCCATGGTATTGTGATGTATGATTGAAATGACTGTCTGTTCAAATTTGGAAACATACAAGTTACTAACTTCTTGTAATAAAGCTTAAAAGTGACGTAATACCAACAGTGGCAACAAAAGGATTATAGCCATTACATTACTTCAAGTTTATAACTGGTTATTACACTCTGTGTCCTGGATTTCCCTAGTGTTAGTTTTCTCAAATTCGATAACCTTTGAGCCTTGTACCCTCTGCTTTAATTGCACTGAACCTGGGGTTTTCATGAGCAGTCCAATCTATACTGAAGGTTAAATAGTTTTGGAATGTAATATATTTAAGAATAATATAAATATCAATTTAATGTGGTGAAGAACTAATTATTATTTTTAATACCTTTGTATACCTAGAAACTTGCTAATCTGTGTTTTTGCTTACAGATTAGAAAGGTTGTTATAGCTTTAGGTGACTACATGAATGCCCAGTGCCATGCCTGCATTGGGGGAACAAATATTCGGGAAGATTTTCGTAAACTGGAGATGGGTGTTCACGTGGTTGTTGGAACTCCAGGCAGAGTTTATGATATGATTAATAGAAATGCTTTAAGTAAGTGTTATTTTCTGTATTTTAAGTGATGTGTAAATGTGAGTCTTCATTACCTTGTCAAATGTGATAACATCCTGCATTTATTAATTAGTTTAATAACAGTAATATTTGAGATTGTACATTCTTTCTAATGAAAGAAAAATCTGAAAATGGGAAATTAAAATAATTTAAAATAAAATCATCTGGCTATTCAATTGCTTTCTTAGTTAATTAAAGCTATTCCAGTTTTCAATGAATGAAGCGACTGTGTACATGAGCTCCATTAGTAGATAGTGAGACACTTGAGGAATTTCCAAAAACAAAGTTAATTAAAGTAATGTGTATAGAACCTGAATCTTTTCAGCGTAATTACAGCTCCAACATTTTCTAGCTGGCGTGAGACCAGTACTCTTTACCCTCTTACTGTTCTAGTAGTCCAGTAGAAAGAATAAGTGTAACAATAAGTACTGAAGTGAAAGTGATAATTCATGTAAAAACTACATCTGGTTGAAATTATGTGTGTTTAATAAAATTACATGACTTTTCACCGTACCCACCATTGCTGTGAGCTGTTCACATTAATTTTCTTTTAACCTATTGCATATACAGTCAATAAATAGTTTTATATAACAGGAATTATGGTATGAGTTGTTGTGATGAATATAGCTTTTATGTTTACAGTAGTGTATCAAAGCATGCTTATCTATAATGACATGCTTTTTCAGCTGTGAATATTAAATTAATGACAACTGTCTGATTTAACAACTAATTTTGAAAAGCTAGAATAATAGATTATATTCTATAAGATAATTCAACTGTACGTAAGATTAGTCAGATGATAATAAATCTTGCAACTGAGAAGTTTGAATAGCCCATGAATCTGTACCATAGCTTAAATTTATATATGTGAAAGTTGTTGGAGTAGAATCTGTGAATTAAAATGGTTAACACCATCTATTTATCGTCACAGTATTCAAGTTACATAAACTCGTTGATATCCAGTTAGGCTATTTATAAGGTTTCTTGCTCTGTTAAGACTTGACTGAAAACCTTCCATCAAAAGCACCTCTCTGTAGTCACACTTCTAACTTTTAGTTGGTAAATGTGACAATAACAGTGCAGGTTGTCAACTGGAAGAAAAACAACACTTCAGTGTGGGTGAGACAAGACAAGGACCTCTTTCTTAATGTCTAGTTGTTTGGTCTCAATCACTGATGTGACATTAGGAGCTTTTTTTTTTTTCTTTTTAACTTCAAATATCATTGGGAGTGGATTTACAGATTTAATTAATATACTAAATTGTTCATTTGTATTTGTTTTAACAGTATGAATATAAAGTTGTTGATTTTCTAAACAAGGTTGTGTTGTGTGAAACTGTTGGTTGAAGGAGGAAAACTGCTCAATTGCTCTTGTGTTGAGCTGTTCAAGTGACATTATTTCCTTTAGAATATTCTAAATAAATAATTCAACAAAATATCTGAAAAAAAGAATAATTTAACATTTTTAGTAGGTTACTTTAGCTTTAAAAAATATTTAACTTCATGTTAAAAGAATTACAACTTAATGTTAGCATGACTATATTGATTAAGCTGGTGAAAGAAGAATTTTGATCCATGATTACTTTGTTTAGGCTAAATAAAGTTTTAAGTAATTCATACATGAGATTATAGTGTTTAAAGTACCTGAATGATGTAGCAATAAAACTTGCATAGATAAAAACTGTACTGAAAAAGTTATTTTCTCTTAGAAACCAACCATATACGGATGTTTGTCTTAGATGAAGCTGATGAAATGTTATCTAGAGGATTCAAGGATCAGATTTATGATGTGTTCAAATTCCTAGGTAGTGATATACAGGTTAGTAGTTATTTTTGGTTGTGAGATACTCCATTCTTCTAGTTCTTGATTTTATCACTTGTATTTCTAGGCCTTCTATATATATCATTTTGTTTTGACTTGACACACTTGGATTAATAGTAATAAATAGTGGGTGATTTTTTGTTAGTGATTGATTTTTCAACTCAAATTCTTGCATTTGAAACTAGCTTCAAACTCAGCTCATTAGAATTAGCAATCAATCATAAATACAGTTAAAATTCCTTTAACAGTACATCTTTAACAATTAGGTTTTAATTTGCTGCTAAAGTACCCCTTTCTTCCATGGTTGTTATTTATTAATGTACCCAAGAAATTCTGTGTGAAATTACCTGTTTACAGTGAAATACAGTTGGACCTGTAATTATTTTATTTAAACTCACTTATTTTTTAAACTTTCTGGGCTATAGATTTTCCATAAAAAGCATCTTACAAGTTGTAAAACATACTGAAAAACCTTCCATCAAAAGCACCTCTCTGTAGTTATGCTTCCAGCTTTTAGTTGGTAAATGTGACAATAACAGTGCAGGTTGTCAACTGGAAGAAAAACAACACTTCAGTGTGGGTGAGACAAGACAAGGACCTCTTTCTTAATGTCTGGTTGTCTGGTCTCAATCACTGATGTGACATTCTTTTCAAACCTGGTTTATTTGGTTTTACTTTAACCGGGTGACCAGAATTTGTTACCATTAGTGTAAGTACCAGAATTTGGGTTCTACCTAGGTTGAAAGGCTACAGTTTTTGCACACCCACTATCACTCCTAAGTCTGATTCTATGTCGTGAAACTACTTGAGTGTTTGTCAGAAAGTGTGAGAAAGTAGTTTGTAATGCTTAACTTAAAATGATTTAATTTTACTGCTGTTGTAAAAATATCACTTGTATAGAAAATGCAATAGTCTAATTGAATGTTGATATTATTACTTCCATTTTCACTCATCTATAACTATAACTGTGCAGACCTTGCTGGTGTCTTTATTTATATCTTGACATTAAGTTAACCAATACTATATTTTTGGTAATTTTGAATATAGTTTTCTGTGCTTTCTTAAAAAAATGTATTTTGCCAGATAGTATGCTAAAAACAATTCTTTCCATTTGTTGGATTAGTTGGCAGCTGTGATATGTAGGTTAAATGGTTTCCAACAGGTAATTGTATGTTTAGATAAGTTGTGAATACATTTTGTGTCATAAGCAAAGATATAATATACACCATAGAAAATTCCCTTCTCTGTGAAAGGTGAAAGTAATTCTAAACATAACTTTTCTTGTAATCTAAGAAGTCTATAGTGTTATTATTTATCTGATCTCTGTCAGTTTGACAATTTGTATTTGTGAGTCTTTGTGACTCTGAATGTAATAGGTGTATTTTTAGTTAGGAAATTTGGCATTCTTTTAGTAAACATTACAAGTGTGTTTTACACACACTATCTTTTTTTTTAATAAGTAATTTTGACTAAAGATTTGAATTTATGAAAACTTGACTGAGTTGGTCATAAAATTACTTCTTTTCATCTTGTATATCGTAATAGTTTCATATTTCATTTCTGTAGCCCCTAGTACCTTCTAAGTTAATGTTTTATCTGAAATATTCTTAGTGTTCAGAGCATCAGATATATTCAGTAGAGATATAATTATTCTGCTAACTAATGGTTTATGGTGGGAAAATGAAACAAAGCATCTAAGGTTTATTTATAGGAGAATTTACTTTTCTGTTGGTTATAAACAGGTTGATTAGCTAACAATCTCAATAGTCAGAGAGAGGAGGGAGGGGGCTAATCTGGTGGTTTTGACAAATTTGTTGATAATCTCAAAGTAAGAAATTCAAGTTTTATATTTTTGATGATTATGTATATTTTGTTTTCAGTTGGTTACAAATTAAAGAAGCTTATTATTGAGGTTATATATTTGAAATTCAGATGTGTCGATTGAAAAATGAAGGATGAAAATTTTCTAAATATTTCCTTTTAAAATACAAATTATATCTTCATGACAATTTTATTGATACACATTTGATAGTAAAGCTGTTCAATTATGTATTGAATATAACACTAAAAGATCATGATATTTGCAGAAGAACCAGGCCCAGGTGCATAGGGTTAGTTGTTGAGTTCCATTCACCAAAGTCACATAGGGGAACATAATAGTTCAACTAAACAGTTACTTTCCCATGAACTTGGATAGTTGGATTAATTGAAAATAATAATAACTGGTAACACTAATTTTGATTAGCTTATTATTTTCAAGAGTTGTGACACTTATATCTTTTAAGCTGAAAAAAAGAATTTAAAAAAACATGAATTATTTAAAAATAGAGAAATTGTAATGAAAATATTTTGACCACTTGTTTAGTAGTTGATATAATCAGAAACACTAATATTGATTTATATTTAATCCATTGACTGCTGATTCACCATATAGAGTACAGTCTGCTTCTGGCAGTTGAATGCGATTGTGTAATATATATTGTATGGCTTGCAAAAATTCCATGCACATTGAGAGCAGCCACATTCAAAGGGTTAATTTTGATTTTATTGTTTCACATATGTTGCTCTACAAAGTTAATTATTCAGCTCTAGAGTGCAGAAGGGAATATTTGTATGTGGAAAAATATCTATCATTATAAAAAGCATTTCATTTTTGTCTATTTATAAAATTGTATAAAAGGGGCAAGTACAAATTTCAGAAACTTAAAACTCAAACTTTTCACATAATAGACCAAATGGAGTTTTAAGTATATCTGATACAAAACCAACTAAGCTTTCATGAGACGCAGCTTTTTTTAATGTGTAACTACTCACTAAGTCTGAAGTTGTGCATAATCAGGACCCTAAATGTTGATGAAATATTTCATAAAACTATACCTTTGTGTTTTATTTTGTTCAGTCATGTCAAATCTTTATTTTTCTTTTATTTCCCAAATAAACCAGAACAACTTAGAAACTTGAATCTTAGTTATTTATGTAGAAATGATAAAAGTTCTTAAGTGTTTTAATCAACCATGTGCTGTATATTCAGGGGTGCTGGAATTTAAGTTACATTGTTGGAAAGGAAACTGTTAATTCTTTATACTAATCCTAACATTTTCTTGTTTTGATGTCATCAGAGTAAAAATAAATCCTAGTCTATTACCACTTCATGTGACCCTTTATGCCATTCTCCAGATCATCATGAGATTTTATCCATTTTTATTTCTTTTCTGTGGTAAGCCATGGCACCTGAAAAGAGTCAACTGATGATAATTTAAATTTTGCTAGCCAGGACACCCAGTAATATTGACAGAATTAGTTTAGTTTTGAAAGTATGTAGTGACACTTAATATTCTCAACAGCATAACATTACAATGCAGATATGAGGCATTTAAGGTATTTTTTTGATTGAAATGCTTCAAAGTATAACCCAATTCAATTACTATTACAGCAAAAATTGATTTGTTAATCTCGGTGAAAGTTTATATAAAAGTCAAAGAGATGAGATTTGATTGCTTTCTGTCAAGGTTATTTTATGTGAAAGAATGCCTTTGTGACAATATGATATAAGGGTTTTGTGGGGGGGGGGATGTTTTGCAATAGGTCAGTTCTGCTTATGTAACACAATGTAATCAGTAGAAAATTTTTTTTATAAAGGTGAATATGATTTCTGATTATTATTGATAGAAATAAAGATTAGTCTACATAAGTATTACATTTTTAAAAAAATATTTCACTGCACATGATTGCTTTATATTACTGTTTTTGATAGAAGTGGCAGCCTCTTATTTTTGATGCATGGTACCTGCCAGATTACTGTGCAGCTATGTATTGTAAGTTGTTATAAAACTGTTTTAAAAAAACATTAAAAAAGAATTCCATTTTTTTTGTAGTGTGTGTATGCTTAAAATTTTTGCAGTCAGTGCACCAGTCTTTATGTGATCACTCTCCACCAATAGTATTGCCCATATTGGTGCAGCTAGCTTCCTCTGCTATTCCTGCTCAATCCTTACTTTCTTGATTGGCATTGTTTGGATGTTTTTGTTTTTTTCACGTGGCTATAATTTATGAACGTGCTTTTTTGCCATTTCAAATTTTATTCAATAGTTTTAATGTGTTTGCATTCACTTCTTTAAATAATATTTTTTTTTTGCATTTATTTCATGTTATGGTATCACATAAGATCATAGTATGAATTTGCAATCGTTGTATTGATAAACGCTACTGGTACGACTTCCCAGGAATCGGGTTTGACTTTATCTGCAGAGAAAGTACAGGCTTTAATTCGCAGGGAGCTAGATTCATATGTTTGGCTAGCAATTTCTTTTTTTTTTTTTTAAACGTGACAATATTTCTGAGGAAGACTACTCAATGAGAAGACAATTTAGTCTCTTTTTCTGGCACCTTCCACCAGTTGCTGTGCTACCACCTTACTCACTTTGATGGAAAATTGTTCTCCTCCTTCTTTCTTCCTTTTGCTTCCAGTTCTTCCAGGGGATCTGGTAAATTTTTCAACATGTACACTGGGTTGATATACCTGTAGTAGACCTGGTTCAGATGCCCTTTATATGGGGCTTTGCCCTTATTTACACAAGGGAGAATAATGTATTTCGTGTCATCAGGTCTCGGACTTTGGTAAGTTAGATATTTACGTACTTTGTAGACTCAGCAAATTTTGTAGCTTTGTTAGTTCGTTATTCATCAGTACTTTAACTAGGTATGTTAGATCATATGTAAGTTACGTATCACTGTTACTAGTAACATTTAATTCTTTGTTCTATTTTAGTAAATTTTTATTTTTTGTCATTGTTAACTATGTACTTTCTCATCCCAATTTTCGTCAGTGTAGGACTTAACCGAGACAAAAAAGGACACTGAATTAACTTAGAGGAATAGTAAGTTAGATATTGATTATTAATGTTTTTTATTTAATTTTTGTTGGTTTTGTTGTTCATTATTATTTCATACTTTGTAGACTATGTGCATTTAAATGTTTGTTAATATTTATAAGTACGTTGTTAACTAGGTATGTTTAAATAGTTTGTACCTTGTATATCATTACTACAAGTAACATGTAATTCATTGTGTTTTGATAAGTTACATCACTGAAGTATTCGTTCGTGGGGGTAAGCTTGGCTTTGGCTCCTTTTCCTATGTTTATGATATTAGAAACCCCATTTTCTTTTCATAATTAACAATTCAGAGTTCTTCCACACAGTGCCCACTTTGCTGATATTTATTTATTGCTCTAAGTTGAGTTTTCCAGTTCTGGGCTTTCAGACAAACCTTGGCTCTTTAACATTCAATATGGGCTCAGTCAATTTGATTGACCACATGACCTTTTTGTACTCGTTTAAAGTCTTTATGGATTTAATGCTTATAACTTTCAATATAGTGGATGTATCTTTACGAAATTTGGCAGTCTTTCAGTTAATGTTACACGTCTTTCACATACAAAAAGTCATTTCTTAGTGAAGTATTTCTAATACATTCTAATTCATGTGTCCATGAATATATTGATTATTTGTTTTCAATAGTCCATGTGCAAAGTAATTTTCATGTTAAAATTAAGAATCTCACATTTCAATTGTGTAATCCCTAATACCTCCTAAATGCATTTCAGATGTTTTTTTCAGTTAAACTTTATAGTTTGTTATTTTCTCTACCCTATCTCAAAACAAAATCAGTCAATTTGACCAACCTTGTAACCACCAAAAAAAAAAAAAAAAAAAAAAAAAAAAAAAAAAA